GGCGCGCCAGTGCGTGCACGGCGCAGTGTGCCTGCCTGATGCCGTGAAATCCACAGTCGCTCGCAGCGGCCAATCAAATCGTTGTGCTTGGGTACCTGGATGTTGACACGAAACAACAAGCTTGGAAATCGCAGAAAAGTAGACGAATGTGTTCTTTGGGGGATGCCACACTCGTTCTAATTTTTCTAGGATTTTCCGACAGCGAACGTGGTGCAAGATGTAAATATGTCGTCGCGAATGGCTTGAATTTACGCTGGCACCCCTCCTAAATGTCAGCGAGAGATACATGGGCACGGACATGTGTTCAGTGGAAAGGTCACTTATGTAAGCCAGCCCAGAGGGTTGGGTCCAGTGCAGATGTGCCGGCACACAGGACGCTCTTGCCCACCTTGTGAATCGGCGAACATTCTGTGCTGGAGCTCAGCAGGCCCGCACCTTACTCAGTGGGAAAATTTCCCATACCTTTGCCCATAACATCCTCCCGTCGCTGGCAATCATAAGCTGCATGCCAGGCAGTCTAGTAAGCGTGGCACCTGGAAGGGGCTCTGTGGAGATCCCTAAGCTGGCAGCCACTCATAGATGCCGCGCCGTCCAGATCAGGAAGGGCAGTCCCACTAACTCGAACCTTAGCATCGGCGCATACTCCTGGTAGTGAGACCCAGCAGCGCAGAACACGTCTCCAAACAACCCAACCACATTCACAACGCAGGTCCTTCCCCTCGCCTCGAGACGCGCCTGATGTGAGCCATCGGTGGTCTTGAGACACGAACCATCGAGGATCATCTCTACGCTGAGCGCTCTCCGAGAACCGATGCACCATGAACACTGTCGCCTACTGCGAGGTCATCGCCAGCCTCAGGAACCAGGCAGGTCGCCAGTCGCGATGACGCACCCTCGCATCGCTCGCCCTGTCGACCGTCCAGGCTCTTGTGTTTCGAACTGCGTACGCCTTGGTAGGCGCGTCAGCCCTCGGCCGCGCGACGACGCACGGCTCGAGCGGAAGGCTACGATGGACAGTGTCCGCGATGTTCTCTCCGGCCGTGGGTTCCGGAGTATCCACCCCGTGGAGGCATGGTACTGGCTTCCCTGGCGAGAGTCAATCATTCGGCCAAGGGGTCGAATAGGCTGTCTGTTATTTGCATAAGTCACTTTGTGCACATGTGAGACGAGTTACGTTCATTGACGTCTGACAATAATTGATGAACTGCGATGTGGTGGGGCATCCTCAATTTGGAGTGCGCGTGAACGAGTTGCCAGGTGAAAATATTCCCGCTCTAACCCTACCCTTCCACGCCTCCCTTGTCCTCGCCATCCCCTGTATCATCTTGTACCGCCTCTCGGAACCCTTGAAACATGTCGAACAGGCCCCGTGGTCAGACAAGCATGCTGCCGTTCCTCAGCCCTTCCAGAAACTCCGCTCCACGATCGTTCCGAGGTCTCATGGGATTGGTCTTGCTCGGAGCTTTCGTCGCCTTCTCGGGGTGGTTGGATTTTATTTGCTATGCTGCACGAGAGGCAGGCCGCGCCTTACTGAGCCCGCGCACAAGCTCGGATGCTCGGTCAGAGACTCAGCTTCGATCCTCGCGTCGATCCTGTGGATTACGTGCTTCAGCTCAACCATAATCGTGGCTCCAGCGTCCATGACAGAGGATACTGGTGCTCTCACGGATGCCTTGGTGGTTTCCGGCCGGGCCTGCGCGGTCCAGATTGTCGAGATCCCTCAACACATCCGCCGATAGAACACATCCTCGGCTGAGGCCGGCAGCAGCCTACCCAGACGAATGATGGGCATCATGGTGCTGTTGCGGACTGCTGCCAGGGCATTCACGCCATCGGCAATGGTTGACGTTGTTATCACCTCCGAACGTCCTGATTTTCGTAGTTGAGCTATGAAGAAATCCGTGTCCATTGCTGAGGGCGGCGACTTTTAGGCGTTGGCGGTTGCCCGGCTTGTTCTCCGACTTCGCCTAGTTCGTATCGGCCTGAAGACGTCGCATCCGTCACTGGCGTAATACACATCTCTCCACTAAGAGGTTGACGAGGGTAGAAATGCGGACGGCGACCTCAGCAAGATGGCGCTTCACGGCAGCCTCAGCAGGCAATTTGGCGGAGACTACCTCGTCGGCTTCTGAAAAGAAATGCTGATTATTGGGGAAAAGCCGGGTATCATCGCCTCCGAGGGGCGCATTGTGGCGCGTCTCAAAACACTCAGTAGACCGAGCAGTAGCCCAATCCAAGAGGAATGTCGCTGTAGTTTTGCTGGCGGCAGTGGGAGTAGAGTCGGGCAAGCAAGCAAAGTGCCGACGTCGAACGGGGCGCGAGACGGGCATGACGGGGTCGTGGGTAGAGCGCATGGTCACGGCCGCCGGGTCGCAGGGGCGGCAGGCGGCGACGAACGGGTAGCGGTCAGGGCCAAAGAGAGCGGCCCGAACAAGGCGCCCGTTGTCGTAGATAGACGACACGTTGAGCAGACGCACGGCACGGGTAAGGTTGCTGGGGATGGTGTCGAAATCGGAGGGGGTGCGCAACTCGTTCCATATTGCAACGCCACTACGGAGACGATGGAGATGTTCATAAAGCAGTCCAATAACATCTATTCCCTTGCTTATGTGACTAGCAGCGCCTTCCTCCGCCGGGGCCAAGCGAACAGCGACGTGGAGGCACAGATCTTGTAGGATCATTTCGAAATCAGACAGGGACCATATGCAATCAAGGGCGTCGACAAGCAGCGGCTGCAAAGCTAGGCGGTGATCTTGAAGAGCCAGAATCTTATGGTACAGCGCAATTGGACGGGTAACAGTTGCAAAGGAGAAAGCATACCGCTGGCCGGCGGGGGATGATATGACGGTTGGTTTCGTTGGCCGGAGCACTTGTGCTTGAATAGCTCCTGGCATATCCGTTGGGGCATCCGTCGGGACGTGTGTCAACAGATTAGCTTAGGCGCTCACGTGGGATTTAGCGAAGAAGCCAAGGCCGCGAAGATGGCGGCGAAGACGAGGGCAGACAGGGCGAGCGCATGTATCTTCTCAACAGGCGCGAAGGGCTGGGCCCAGGGCCGCTCGCTCTTGTCGGGGGTCTCATGGATGTAATACAGCTGCGTCGGCGGCTCGAGTGACGGCGGCACTGAGGAGAGGGTGGGTTCGGGGGGCGGGGCGAAGTGCAGCGAGAATCGACTGCCGTTAAGAGCGACAGAGGTAAAAAAGGCTGCGTGAAAGCACATTTTGAGAGATTGCACACGGGTTCGCGGATGACAGGGCGGCCGTTGAGGTTGCCGTCGCTCTCAACACCACTTTTCTCCCAGTCATCGTCATGGACGTCGAAGGAGGAGGATGAGAGGGGCAAGCGAGCAGCAAAGCGCAAGATGCTGATGGCGTCGCAGGGATACGAAGGGTCTGAAGGAGCCTCTGATGTCTCGCGCGGGCTGGATGGGTGGAGCTGCGATGTATCCAGCGGGCTCGTGGGAGGCTGGGATATGTGGGATGGGCTCGAGGGAAGCGGCGATGCGATGGGCGGATTGTGCAGAGGAACCAGCAAGAAGAACTGGCGGGGGGG